CCAAGACCAAATACATTAACATTGTCATGTACATTACCATGCCAATCCCTCCGAGAGTTGTCATGACAGAACTTTATTTATTTGTTTGCTTGTTTGTTTTGTATTTGTTATTACTTAGTTGTTCAGTTGTAACTTAAAATAAATCAGAATGCCACAGTGGCAACTCAGCACTCATTCATTTTTTTTAATTATTTTTTAAAGGGGTCATATGATGTTGCTAAAAAGAACATTATTTTGTGTATCTGGTGTAATGAAATGTCAACGAGACAAAACCAGTAAAACCCATTATAAATGAGGCATTTGTTGCATCCAGTGGGGACATAATTACGGATTATAATGACTTATACTGTCTTGTAAACATAAAACCATGTCTTCATTTGTGATCGGCGGGTTTGAGTGAGCGGTGGCAGGCGGTCTTGAGAACGGCGCGGCCGGTGGATTCGAAGAAGGAGCGGCCGGCGGTCTTGCGGCAACCACATGTGACGACCCTGGGCTGGACTCCGCTTCATCCACGGTGAAAGCCGATCCGGCGATCCACAGCGCAAAGTTGATGTATTTCTTCAGCGACCAGCACAGATCAGCTCCAGGCATGACGAAGCGATATCGTCCTCTTTTGGAAGGCCAAACAAAGTAGTTTCGCTTTCACAACGAAACACACAGCGCCTTCACGACATGGCAGTGGCGGCAACAACAATACTACAGCGAGAATAAAAGTTGTGCCTTCTTTCTTTGCGTGAATATTTGGGCGGCGTTATGCAAATCTCTTCGTGACGTAGACATGTGGGGGCGTGTTAGAATGAGTCGTTTTAGGTAGGCGTGGTTGACTCTTAACTTTTATAAAGAATATCTCTTTGGATTTGAGACTTTAGTCTTTGCAACTTTACAGATCTTCTTTATGCACCAAGAGCTCGTAACACCCCAAAGAGAAAGGAAAAATTGAAATCGCATCATATGACCCCTTTAAGTAACACACTATATACTATACACACTATATTACAAATTAAATTTTAATTTCTAAATTCACTTGCCATTTTTTTCATTTGGAGTGCTATTTTTACATTAATTTAGACAAAATAGAATGGAATTAAATTTTTTGTTGCCATTTATTGTTATCGGCTATAACGTTGAAATAATTTTTTTGTCTGTATATTTATTGAAATTTGAGTGGTCAAAAATGTAACAGTTTGGTGCATGATACATTTTGAGTACTGTATACACAGTATATACAAAATAAATTTAGCACGTTATTAGTCCTATTTTATAGATAATATTGTAATGCATTACTTTAAAATGTAACATTCCCCAACAGTTGCAAGCTTTCAAATCCCTTACACACATCCAGCATTTTTGTTCAACATGTTTTCCCCTGACGTTCTTACAGTGATGTCTGTGATGTTCGGCAGTGTTTGAGCGCTCATCACATCACTGTCATGTGCACCGTCACACTCTGATGGATGAATGATAGGTACAGGTAGGCAACACTCATTTCTTCAGGTAGGGCTTTTTAGAGGAAAAAAGGGATAACGAGGATTGAGGGAGAAGGATGGATTTGTACGTCAGCAGCGCTGCCTGTTTCTCTCCCACCGACCTGCCTCTGCAACGCGTAGCAAGGTGACTCTTGATTTAATTGCTAAAATCATCCAGCCCTCGGTTTTTTAAAGGGAAGGAGTGGAAAAAAATGGACAGGCAGTGTTCCAGGAATTAATTGATTTTCTCATAGGCTTTTCTACCTTAATGTCCTCTGTTTGAAAATGGCTATGCACGCTTTGAGGGCACGTTGAATCTCCGTCTCTTATATATCGTTCTCGCATCTCCACAGTTTTACAGGCTACAGCATGCTGGAGTCAGCATCCGCCGTCAGCCAGCATCCTCCACCCTTTATAGAGGGGCCATCTGGATAATATGATCAAGATGGTTCCTCCGGCTAACGAGAGTCTATGTTGCACCCTATTAAACCAGACACAATATCTCTGTCTGCGTTTATGGCTTTAGCTGTGCCCTCCTACTGTTCACCAGACATGCTACGCCGGCCATGTTAACCTCGAGAAGCATCGAGTGTGGGTGATGTTGTAGATTCCCTCATCATGTGCACTGCGAGTCCGAAAACATGCCTGATGAGCTCTATATCAACATGGCATGCTTGTGTCAGCGGGGTACGGATCCCATTAGAACAGGTGCTGTATGAGCAGTGGATTCATGGGCTTACACGTATTCGTTCTGTTGACATTTGTTATTCTCCGCGGATGGAGAGGCCGAATGGTGTCGGCACATGCAGGGTACACAATACTACATCACCTGAAGCCTAGGTGTAATTGAGAGAGCAGTGTGTCCTGTATGCTTACCCGGCATCAGATACGTGGACACTTTGATTTTTGTCCCCTTGTGGGAGGCTCTCATCTGGGTGCTAATAAAAGCCTTTCTACTTCATGCTCCTGTACCCAGAATGTCAGTCTGACTGCGCGTGGGTTTGAATTATGGCCGAGAGGACGAGGTGCGGTCACTGTCTGCTTTACAAGCTTCTGTGCCCAACAGACGGGACTCTGCAGACGGCAGATCTCAGCTTTTGATGTGCACTGCTGGTGTTGAAACACACACTTCACACTCCGTGCAAGATGGGCTGTGAATGGCACTGATGCCAAGATAGCCAATCAAATGTTTTCCAGCTCTGGGAAACACTTTCTCAGGACACCCATCCACACTGAGAATGCTCTTCTGATCGATTAGGACAATATACTAGATAAAATGAGACAATATGAGACCAGATGAAATGAAACTATATAAGACAAAATGAGATAATGAGAACAGATGAATTAAGAAAATATAAGACAAGATGAAATGAGACAATATGAGACCAGAGAAAAAGAAACAATGAGATAAGACAAAATGAGATAATAAGGACAGATGGATTGAGAATATATGAGACGTTATGAGATCAGACTAAATGAAACAGAAGACTAGACAGAAGAAACAAGAAGAAATTAAAGAATATGAGACCAGATGAAATTAGACAATATGAGAGAAGACAAAATGAGATAACGAGGCCAGATGAATTTAGATAATATGAGACAGTGTGAGACCAGACTAAATTAAATGATATGAGACCAGATGAAATGAGACCAGACAAAATGAGATCATGAGGACAGACGAATTGAGAAAATAGGAGACACAACGAAATGAGACAATATGAGACCAGACGAAAAAGAGACAATGAGAGAAGACAAAATGAGATGATGAGAACAGATGAATTGAAAAAAATGGGGAAATATGAGACCAGACCAAATGAAATGATACAAGACTAGATTAAATGAAATATGAGACAGATGAAATGAGTCAATATAAGACGAGACAAAATGAGATAATGAGGCCAGATGAATTAAGATAACATGAGACAAGGTGAGTTCAGACTAAATTAAATATAAGGCCAGATGAATTGAGACAATATGAGACAAAAAGAAATGAAACAATATGAGACAAGACAACAGGAGCTAATGAGGCCAGATGAATTGACACAATATGAGACCAGACGAAATGAGACAATATGAGACTCGACGAAACATTATGACTCAAGACAAAATGAGACCAGATGAATTGAGACAATAAGACAAGACTGGGAAAGAAAAGACAAGATGTGCCTAGAAGAGAGAGGAAGAAAAAGGAAATTATGAGAAAAAAATATATAAGAGAAGAGAAGTGACAATAAGATAAGATAAGACAAAATGGGACTGAAAGAAGAGGAAGCGCCTAGAAGAGAGAGGAAGAAAAAGGAAATTATGAGAAAAAAATATATAAGAGAAGAGAAGTAACAATAAGATAAGATAAGACAAAATGGGACTGAAAGAAGAGGAAGGGAGATATGAAAATAACTGAGACAAGGAGAGTAGATGAGAAGAGACTACAATGTTGAGATCAGGTGAGAAGAATTGACAAGAAAAGAATAGATTCAGTGAGATGAGGTGAGGTGAAGCAAAAAAATGAAGAGAGAGAGAAAAGAGATTAAATTATGAGATGAGGAGAAAGAGATGAGAGATAAAACTAGAAGAGATTACTTATGATGAGATGGAATGATAAAGCAAGCAGAAAAGAGAAGAGACAAACATGAGATGGAGACTATACTAGAGGAGAAGATACAAAGTGAGATGAGAGAAAAGATGAGAGACTACCAAAGACAATATGAGATGAGAAGAAGTGAGACAAGGCAGGAAGAGAAGAAATGAGATGAGACACAAAGTGAGATGAGACTGGAAGAGAAGTGAGGAAAAGAGACAAGACTGAAGCTGCGTTCACACTAGCAGCTGCATGTCGCCAGGGGCTGGCGATGAGGTTAACTTGTGGGCGTTCTCACTACTGGTTGCCTTGACAACGAATCAGGTTTCTTGCCGCTAAATACAAACATTTTGGAGGCAAAAGACTAAATATAATATAAATATGAATTAAATCCGTACATAAAACAAAAATGAATGAGAAACAGAGCCTACTTTTTTTCCATTGTGTATGTTTATCTACGGCTGAGAGGAGAATGATCACATGAGCTCTGCCGTCTTCTTCCTATTGGCTGTCGCTCCCGAAAGTCGCTCTTCATTTGCATAAAGTTGAAGGATTCTGAACTTTGTCGCGTCGCTGGACATGCCCCATCCGTCGCCAACACCCGCTGTCGCACTCGTCGCCGGAAATCGCCAGCTCTCCATTGAAATGAATGGGAGTGTGTTGCTTGTAGTGTGAACAGGGCTTCAATGAGATGAGATCAATCAAAGTGAAATAAAACCAGAAAAGACAAGAAGATGCGAGGCATCAGTGGTGTGATACAGACACAAATCCGCAAACCACACTTGATTTGGCGGCCATGAAAGGCCACATACTGTATATCTGTTACGACTTTAGACTGAGTATGAGATTCATATTTTGCAGCTATGATCAAGCATCATCCTGGCTGTACTGACGGTCAGTTCTGGGTCATTTGCTGTGTTACCTATCGAGCGTGAATGAAATACGGCCATGCGGCTGCTGGTTAGCATCACCGACTCTGACAGATTAATAGTCTAGTGAAGGGAAGGAAGACCCATATTTGTTTCTTTCTCGCGTTCACTCCAGATGGGACACTGGCAGGACGGGAGCTCTAAAGTGCCAATACGGCTCATGACTGAGATGATTAAAGGCCAATGTAATTAGAGCAGGAAAATTAAAACTGGGACTTTCATTACCCACCACTACCATGTCCCACCTCTCCAAACAATCACCAAACATGCAGATATTCGCATACACCACACGCTCACATATGTACATTCAAGACAGCTATTCGCCCTTGACTATGCTCAGTATTGCCTTTGTTAAAAGTCTCCTGCGCATGATCATAACGACATCCTCTAGAGATCAACATCATGTGTTCAAATACAGACAGTTATGGCTCTGAAATCTGATTGAATGAGCGATGTTTGAATTCTAAATATAATGTGTCAAGTTACCACAATATCACATGCTATTCGGCAAATTAACTACATTACTTGTTGTGGAATTTTCTATATTGAGATTATTATTAACAAATTAACTGTGAGGAAATAGATTTTGGAGCAGGTTTTGTTGGGAGGCCACTGTTGTAGAAAATCTATAAGGTTTCAATCACCTTTATGTATAGAAAAATACATTGCTGTAGCTCAAGCAGTAAAGCATAGTGCTAGCAACGTCAAGGTAATGGGTTCAGATCCCAAGGAATGCATGGACTGATTGAATGCAATGTTAGTTGCTTTGGATAAATGCATCTGCCAGATGCTTAAATGTAAATGTAAAAATGATAGTTCAAGGTACTTCTTGTGATATGAATTCTAAAAAGCCATTCTTTTAAAGCATTTAAATAGAAATATGTGCTTTGTAAAATAAAAAGACTGCGTCCTATCAATTAATGACAAAAAGTCTTTCTGCTGAGTTGTCCTCACAGGCTATATGCGAAAACAAGCAGACCAGACTACCCTGATTCTTGAGCAAACATGTATTATGGTATTATGAACCGGTTCTTTTTAGTGTAGCCTAAACAAATGAGCCAATACTTTTAATGAATTGTTCAGTTGAATCAGTTTGACAAATCCTTTACTGAATTGAATTGATTGAAATGGTTAATGAATCAACATCTGACTCTCTTAATGAACTGTAATTTTCAGCGATGTCCATATATCAAAATGAAGCAAGTTTTGTGCAAGTATCAGTGTAAATAAAAACACACACTTGCTACAGTTTTTGTAACAAATGAATATTGTAGATATAATTTACAGTATATAATTGTTGTTATTTTATAAAAGCACTGGCTTATTGTTTCATTCTCAAGGGAAGCATTTCTTTAAAGTCTTAATTTACTTTGGATGAAAAAATATCCATCGTAAAAGACAAACATTTTACTTTTGCTCATGTAGGTTATTTAATTTTCAGAGTGATGGTTAATGCATCTGCAGTGGGTGGCTGCCATATAGTCTGTCCCATGAGCAATTATGGAGACAGATGCATGTCTTTTAGAAAGAAGGGATGGAGTGAAAGACACGCCAGAGAAGCTCCGTTCTTCTTTATTATCCGTCTCTAAAGACGCGAAGGCACCGTGTCTGTCACGGGTCAGATGTCACCGCAGCTCTGTTTGCCGAACAAATGACTTAAGGAAAGCGCTTAGATTCCTTGTTCTTTATTCAAGCCTCTTTCAAATCCGTCTCAAAGATGGAGGGGCAAACAGAGAGAAGGAGGCGTGGATGGCAAAATCTGCAAATTAAAGGAAAAGGAAAAAGAAGCAAAAAGGCAGTGCCCCTCGCGTCTGCTCGTCCAGCATCGTGACCCTGATTTACGAACCCCTTCCTTTAATGAAATTGTTTCTGTGACAGAGCCGGTAAAAGCTTGTAATTGATTGGCTGCTCTAATTTAATGAAATTACTCCCTTTCTGACTTTAAAAAAAAAGAAGAGGGGGGAGGACGAGATAGGAGGAGGTTATAGCCAGACAGGCCACTTTTAGCCAGCTGGTCCTTTATCCCGACTGCGGTGAGGAGAGGAGAGTAGATATGAGATCCCCGTGTGTGTGTGTGTTAGTGTGTCTACCTCCCACCCGCAGCCCCCACCTCTCCTCCTCCTCCTCCTCCTCCTCCTCCCTCCCCTCAGCCCCCACCCGCTCGTCTGCAGACATGCCGCTGACTTCTGTCTCTCATCTGCAGGCAACTGGACAGCAACCACATCAGCTGCATCGAAGATGGAGCCTTCCGAGCCCTGCGCGATTTGGAGATACTGTGAGTCCCCCTCCCGCCTCCTCTGCGGGGTTCTCTCCTCTCTCTTCACCTCTGCTGTCCCTTCCTCTAACTCTGTCTCTGTGTTTCTTGATTGCTCTCGAAGGACAAACTGTGTTGCGTTATGGACCTGTGGCGCATAGTCCGGTGTCACCC